ACATCTTAGTGTGGTGCAGTGTGGTGTAGCAAGGTCACCAGCCTTTCTACCTTCACAATGAGTCAGATATGTTCAAGTCACTGCCCCAGCAGAGTACCTATTTCAGCTGGAGATCCCAAGCCATCGGAGGGCATTCACTCTCGCTAGATGGCAAGACCTCCCAACAGTGGTAGTAACAGGGCGATATGAAAAAAAAAATCCTTTGAATAAAAGATCACGCCCCTGTGGCAGTGGTGAGTCAGAAACAACAGATCATGTTCTCCTTTACTGCCCTTTTAATAAAATGAATCGCTCAAAGTTTATCTCCCCCCTGCTCAATAGAAACCCTGGGTGTTCAAATCCGGGATATGTTAAAATGTTGCTCCTGGGAGAAAACCCGCAGGTGACTACACTTTGTGTGAAATTCTGTGCAGCAGCCTGCAAAACTCGACTGAACATTTAAGAAAGTAAGGAAACATAAAATACAACATAAGCCAATATAATATATATATATATTTATAAGTTTGAAGTCTTAAAGGTTAAAATCCTTCTCTCATATCCATATGTATTATTGGAATTTTATTTACAATTTCTTATACAAAGTGTATTATAGTTTTATTTGAAACTTTTAACAATTTTGGGCAATGACTGTAGTATATTTTATTCAGTGTTTCATGCATGTGTAATACCGTAATAAATGACTTTGAACTTTATTGGGGATAGGGATAGATATAGCACTAAAATAAAATAAAAAGTTTGGGAAAATAAATGATTTCACCATGTTGATTCTTTCCATCCAGGATAAATTTAATTTGCTCCACTGTAATATGACTTTATTCAGATTAATAGAGTTCAATGATAGATTTATTGGGTAGAATTCTAATTTAGCTTGATTTATATTTAGTCCTGAGACGTCACTAAATTTGTTGATCATTTCTTCAGTGGCAAGGAGCGAGGTCTCTGGGTTTGTGATACACATTACTGTGTCATTCACAAAAAGGCTGATTTTAAATTTTTTATCATTGATAAGTATGCTTTTAATCTGGAGATTTTACCTAATTGCAATAGCCAGAGGCTCTACAGAGACTGCAAACAAGAGAGGTGAAAGGGGGCAACCCTGTCTTGTGCCTCGAGAAAGCAGGACATCTTCAGAGTGCAGATTTATTTTGACTTGCACTTTTGGGACTGAATAAAGAGTTTGGATAGCTCATAAAAATTTGTCTCCAAAGCCCATTCGGCTTAATAAGGTTTTTAGTTATGAAGTTTCCAGGCTGTCGAAAATAAGTGCTTCATTATGTTTAATTTTACATTAATTTATTAAATTCAAAGTTTTGTGTGTATTATCAGTTAGGTTTCTATTTGGCATGAAACCTGATTGGTCTGAGTGGATATAATCGGTGATAAAGTGGTTTAACCTGTTAGCTAGAATGGCTGTGAATATTTTAGTGTCTTCATTAAGAAGGGAGATGGGTCTGTATGACTTCGGGTTGGTAAGGTCTTTATCCTTTTTTAGGATTACAATTATGTTTGTACTTTCCCACATTTGGGGCATTTTTCCATTAACTAAGATATAATTATAAGTGTCCGCTAACAAACTAGCTAATAATACAAATTTTTTTAAAAAATTTGGCAGGGAAGCCCTCTCTGCCAGATGATTTATTATTTTTCAGTGCCTTGATGGTGTCAGTTACTTCCTGGGTAGTATTGGGTTGATCCAAATAATTTCTGTGTTCTTCTGAAATGTTCTTGATAACAGAATGTGAACATAAATAAGCTGTAATGCAGTCTTTGGATGCATTACTAGACTTATACAGCTCTTTATAAAAATTTACAAAAGAGTTTATAGTATCCTTTGAGGTGGAAAGAATTTCACCTTGTGTGTCTTTGATGAAGTTCATATATCTGGCTGAAACTACAGGCTGATCAGTCTGACTTCTGTTGCTGGGAAGATATTAGAGCAGATTTTAAAGGGATCAATCTGTAAGCATCGGAAGGACCACTTAGTGATCCGGGGAAGTCAGTGTGGTTTTGTCCCCAACAGATCTTGTCAGACCAGCCTGGTTTCCTTCTTTTGATTGTGTGAAGAGCGTACTGGATTGTGGGAACTCTGGTGATGTAATTTAGCTGGATTTCAGTAAAGCTTTTGATAAGGTTCCCTATGACATTCTGATGGGCAAATTGGAAGATTGTGGACTGGACTATAGGACAGTTCGGTGTATAGGAAACTGGTTAGAGGACCACACCCAAAGAGTGGTGGTCAATGGCATTTCATCAGATTGGAGGGAGGTGTCTAGCGGGGTGCCGTGGGGCTCAGTTTTGGCCCCAGTACTTTTCAATATTTTTATCAGTGATCTGGATGAAGGGGTAGAAGGGCTAACTCATTACATTTGCTGATGGTACCAAATTGGGAGGAGTAGCAAACACCCAAGAAGATAGAGTTAAAATTCAACAAGAAGTGTGTGACACTGGGCCTTCGCAGCCACGCCTAGGATCCCTCGGACACGGGTTGGAGACAGTTGGCTGGAGGATAACCGTGAGCCTCAGGTGTAGGGCGGCTCCTGGGTTACTTCACCTGACTTGGGAGTCACACCCTCACAGAGTTCTGGCTGCGTTGTGACTCAGGGCTCTCTCTCTCAGAGCTCCTATCTCTGTCACTTGGCCACTCCGCTTCTCCTCCCCGGCTCTGGTAGTTTCTCCCGCTTTTATTACCACTACCCCAACCTGAGCTCCGCCCCTTCACCTCCCCCTCCACCCTGTGCGGCTCCTGAGGATGTCCTTCCAGTTTTCTTGGCTCCCTTTGGTTCGTCCGGTGCTCTGCCGTCCGGGTGGTCAGGCCTTGATCCCGCTTACAGGTTAGGGCGGGCCCCCGCGTCCTCGCTGGTGGAGTTCAGTCCCTCGGGGGCCTCTTCCTCGGCATCCCAGGGGCCTCCCCAGGCTCATGCGTCTCGGTGCCGCTGTCAGGTGAGTCCTGGCTGCCCTGCCTTCTTCCAGGCTCCTCAGTGTTCCCGCCTGTCGGCTTCGGGCGGTGCCGCAGACGGCTGGTCTCATCCAGCCAAATGCCCACAGGTGAGTGTGGGAGAGGTGCGAGTGGTGCCCCCATCCCTGGTGCCCTCTTCGGGGGCCCTGGTCGTGGGGCCTGTCTCCAGCTCCATGTTGGGTCCCCTTTGAGGTGGGCTGCCATTCGGCCAGGGAATGATTGCTATGCAGTTCCTGTTGGCAGTCGCATCAGTGGTCTTGGGGGTGTTGTTCTGGCCCGCCCTGAGGGAGTCTGTCCTTGGCAGCTGCGTTGGAGCTGTGCCCTTCGTGGGGGGGGGGCCTAGTCCTGAATACTCTGGAGAAGTGGGCAGTTACAAACAGGATGCAATTCAACAAAGATAAATGCACAGTATTACATCTGGGCTACAAAAATGTCAAGCACAAATACTGGATGGGGGGATACGTTTCTGGGGAGTAGTGTATGCGAAAGAGATCTTGGGGTAAGAGTGGACTGTAAACTAAATATGAACAGTCAGTGTGATGTGGTGGTAAAAAGGCGAATTCAGTCTTGGGTTGTATTAAAAGGGCCATAGCATCGAAATCGCAGGAGGTCATAGCTCCTCTGTATACTGCCTTGGTCAGGCCACGCCTGGAGTCCTCCTGTGTGCAGTTCTGGAGGCCTCACTACAAATAGGATGTGGGCAAAATCGAGAAGATGCAGAAGAGAGCAACGAGGATGATCAGGGGTCTGGAGCCCTACGAGGAAAGGCTGAGGGACTTCTTGGGAATGTTTACTTTGGAGAAGAGATTGAGGGGGGACACGATTGCTCTCTTTAAATATTTGAAAGGCTGTCATTTTTAGGAGGGCAAGGAGCTGTTCCAGTTGGCAGCAGAGGAGAGGACCTGAAGCAACGGGTTTAAATTACATGCAGAAAGGTATCGGCTGGATATTAGGAAAAACGTTTTCATGGTCAGAGTGGTTCAAAGGTGGAATCAACTGCCTAGGGAGGCGGTGAGCTCCCCTTCACTGGCAGCTTTCAAGAAGAGGCTGGATGAATATTTGTCAAAGATGCTTTAGGATGGTCCTGCATTGGGCAGGGGGTTGGGCTAGATGGCCTCTATGGACCCTTCCAACTTTGTGATTCTATGAAACTTTTTTTTTAACCTTCCATGAAAGAAGTCTTAGGGACTTTGAGTTTCTATGCCAGTATTTTTGTTTTAAAAATAAAAGATCCTTTTGAATTTTAGATATTTCTAATGCTTCTAAATGTTTCACCAAAGCCTTTCTTTGCTTTTGAATGCCAGGAGCATGAACACACACACACACACACACTTTTTTTTTGTCATAATCTGTACATGTAAAGTTGGTAGCATTCATTTCTTTTGCTCTTTACAAGATGGCATAGTAAACCTACAGATGGACTCTATATCCACCAAAGCAGCAGGATAGCTGATATATTGAAATGTTATTAGGTTGAAACATTCTACTAACTTTGATTTCTACACTTTCATGATAGTCTCTTGAGTATTAAAGACTGAAAGACATTCTTCAGTCACACAGTACTCCACTACTTGTGAGAGGCTGATTTCTTTGTCTAGGGTGTTGTAGACAAACAAGGTATCTGCTGTGGATTTGTCCATTGGGATAAGCTTCTAACTCCAGTACCTGTCAGAAAGTGGTTTGCTATGGAGGTACACTGTTCATTCCTCTGAACAATGTTTTTGTTGTTGAAAATATCTGTTCTTTCAAAGACTTAGACAAGTTGTTCAGAAGCAGTCAGACCAGGAGAATTTTAAAATAGGCTTGGACGGGGTTTAACTGAAAAGAACGGTTTCTTTTGAATGGCATACGTTTATGGCACTCTGGTTTTTGCTTCTAGTTTGGGTCTTCTGGATAATGTACATACATAAAACAAATTCTTGTTGCTGATTTGCCCATCAAACTGCAGACTCACCATGTTGGAGCCACTTCCGTATTTTTCTCCATGCTTGTGGCAGTAGCAATCTGGAGTCCCATTTTCCTCATTTGGTCTTCTGTCTTGCAGAGAATATGCTGAATAACGGACATGCCACCTTAAAAGATCCCTCAGAGCCAGCTCATGTATTTGATGCAGCCTCAAAGCAAGAAGTTCTTCAAGGTAAGTGATGGGAACCTTTTCAGAGGCTTAGTTTTCTCTTTCAAGCATATACAAACGTACCCTGCTGCCGGAACATTCAGAAACTGTGGTGATCAATCAGATTCTTTTATCCTGTGTCTTACCACAGTATTCTTGTCCAAAATAGTGTAGTCCCCTCATTCTGCTGCTGGATCTCCTGTGGCATTGTGACAATAAAGTAGAGGCGTAATCTATCTTGGGTAACAATTGCGCCAGGGCAGAATATGTATGGATGGATCTAGAACTGTCTCTGAATACTTGTTTTCCAATTTTATAACAGAATGTGTCAACAGCGGCCGTTCACATTTGCTTTTCTTCAGTAATGAAGATGTGTCCGTATATAAATATTTTTCGACACCCCTCTTTTCTGCTGGCAAACTGATAGTGAAGCCCTTCAAGGAAAAGGGGTCTCAGTATTCCCATACAGATACACTGGTAAGTATGCAAAAGGGTACTGTACCCCCCTTGACGTAATTTGCAGTGTCAACAGGTTCTTCTCTCTGGTGTTATATTTACTATCAAATAAGCATTTCAGTATTCTAACATTTTTGTTAATGTTGGACCTCTTGAGGAGCATTATATTAAGCCACTAATTGATCGGTACCGTCTCCCTACACCCTGGGAGCTCTGTCTCCTTTGCTTAGTGAGAAGGCTCCTAAGATCACTCTGGCAATAGCAAAGTTTGTTCCAGTCCTTTCAGCCCTCATGTCCAAACAATGAGGAGTGAGAATCTTCTGCTGCTCAAGATTTGTTAGTCAATGAGCTTCTAAGGCAATAAAAGGAAAATGTGCATGAGGCCATGTGCATGAGAAATGAAAGGATTAACAGTGTTCCAGAAAGCCCAAACCACCCATCCACAAAGGAGTCCACGTGGTTTGCATCTTCCTAATTCTCTGTTTTGCTCTTGATTCTTTCTGGTTGGCTGTTCCAGAGGGAGTGGGTAACTCTGCTGTGTTTGTATCGTTTGTAACTCCCAGTGGAAGAGAGATGGCATAACTACCCAGCCCTGAAAGATGCTGCCTGCTGCAAAGCTGGCTAAATTATTTCTCTTCACTCAGCTACTTCTGTTTAGGAGATAACCCTGGCAGTGACTTGCGTAGAATTATTTGGGTGTGCTTGGCTGTATAAGCAAAGTGTGTGTCTGCTTTCATTGGAGAAAAAATGTGCCTTGCGAGTCAGGTTTGAGAATTACTGATTGCTTCCTGTGCCCAAGAATAACCCTTTCAGCCGAATGCTGAGATACTGTGAGTGGAACTGTGACTTGAAAATGGGTCTTGTGCTGTGAAACTCTAACAAGGATACGCATGCAGTCAATGTCGAGTTGAAGGCAGGAGGGGAGAGAGCGTTGAGCATCTGTAGAAGGAAAAGTGATCAGTTGTTTTCTGCTTACCACTGGAATTCAATGTATGCTGAAATGTATGTTTTAAAAAATTCAGTGTTTTACCATATATCTGTCAAAAGGGCTAAACTACACATGACATTTTTGTAATGGAATATGCAGATCCAGAATGCTGGAAATACCTCTCCCTCCCTCCCCAGGCCCTTTTGGCTTGGGAAAATGGGGCAGGGAGGGAGGTGGGAGGCCGTCCTCCCCATGCCACGGCCGCGAGCTGAATTGGGCCCCTGCAGAGACCTATCAGCTGCCAAATGTGCAGGGGCCCAATTCAAAGCAACTGAATTATCCATCCATTGCAGGTTTTGTAATACCTTGTTACACCACTGATCACTGTACCATCTAAAGCTGCTCCTCAAATTTGCTTTCAGACAACTGTCCCTGACTGGCTCCTTCTCTATGCTCTCTGGATAACTCCCTTTCCATCAGTTGTGTGATTGCTGCTTTTGCTGCTTTTAGAATTGTTCAAGAAGAATTCCACATTTTTAGAAGCATCCCTTCTCTCGCCTGTTTTTGATCAATAGTTTACCTCATGTCGGTCACAACTTTGCGACTCCCTTCTCCACATCAAGTGTGACAAGTGTAAGAGAACTCTCTAACACAACAAATATTACTATTATTATTACTACTATTACTACTACTACTATTATTATTATTATTATTATTATTATTATTATTATTATTATTAATTCGATTTCTAAATCACCCTCCCTCCTACTGCAGGCCTTAGGGCAGGTAAAAACATATTTATCGTACAACCATAGTCATAGTAGACAGATGGCACATAACAATGCAATTACACCTTATCAGGGGAAAGTTTAATCACTTCGAAGCTGGGGGAAGGGAGCGAGAGGAGGGCCCATCAAATGGAGTTGTCATTCTCCGCAATCAAGGGCCTCGGCCACAGGCCTGGTGGAACAGCTCTGTTTTACAGGCTCTGTGGAACTGTGAAAGAGCTGTGAAGAGTGTTCCATCTGGCCAAACTCAGGGCTGAAAAGGCTCTGGCCAAGGCGAACCGAATGCTTCTCGGTGCAAAAATCCTCAGTAGGTTTTTATCCAGGAAGCATAGTGGTCTTGGCGGGGTATGTGTGTGTGTTTAATATCAGGAGAGGCGGTCCCGGAGGTATGTTGGTCCCAGACTGTATAGGGATTTAAAAGTTAAAAACCACATCGCGAACCTGATTGGGTATTCCATCTGGAGCCAGTGCAGCTGGCAGAGCACCAGCTGGATGTGGGCTCTGACTGGAGTTCCGGTAAGAACTCGCGCTGCCACATTCTGGACCAGCTGAAGTTTCCGGGTCAGTCTCAAGGGTAGCCCTGCATAGAGTGAGTTACAGTAGTCTCGTCTGGTGGTGACTGTTGCATGGATCACTGTGGTTAAGTCGAGGTGAGACAGGGAAGGGAGCTAGTTGCCTGACCTTGCAGGCCGGAGGGAGAGTGTGGACTTCTGCTCACGCGTGTCTTGAAGAACAGTGTTGGGGCATGCACCTCATATGCAGCAGGAGTGAAGCCCATCTCCTGTGTTGCCTTGAAGCAGTGGGGGCAAAAGAAAGGGCTACCTCTCTTCATTGCTTTGGGTCTCCTGTTGTGGCTCCAGATGTGACCCAATGTAAGGAGAATGTGTGTGTCTCCCCCCCCCCCTCACCTGCTATTCTGTGGGACCCATCACTGCCCTTCTGCTGTTGAGAAGAAACATAACCGTGGCTACGCTGTTCCTTCTGGCTTACGTGTTAGGCTGGAAGCTACTGAGAAGTTCATGTAAACGTATTTTTTTGGTACTAACTGTTCATGAGAGAGTTAAATGATTTTAAGTGTGGTAAAGTTGCTAATTTATAAAACTGCTGGCTGTGCTTCATTCTGATTTCTAGGTGCCTTCTCTCTGTCACTTTGAAAAATCTGTTGCTGAATTAAAAACTGTCATGTGATCTTAAGGCTCAGCCCTCCAGCAAGCCTGTTTTCTATGCTTAAGAAGGACCCCAACATTCTGTGTTTGCAATCCCTCTTTTTGTAGGATTCTAATTTTTCTGGTCAGGGGGAAAGCACTGTAGCCCATTTGCATGCACTGGGAATCTTGTTCCACCATCCCTAATTTTTTTAGCCCTGCTGTCAAGTTTAAAGGCTAGAAAAACTGTTTTATGTCTGGCTTCTTCTGCTCAGTGCTGCATGCGGTGGGCTCTGCACTTCTGCAGCAGCAAAGTGTCCACTCGGTCTGGTGGCTCGGTGAGTGGAACAGTCCTTTACATCCGGGATAAGCTCCTCCTCCTCTATCAGGGTCGGCCTTGAAGCTTGATCCAGGCGGGGGAGGGGCTTGTTCCCTGGGACTCTCCCAGTCTTGCTGGCTCTGCTGACTTAGCAGGACGAGGCTGAGCAGCACTCCTCTGGTGCCTGAAAACAAGAAGAAAAGAAGAAAGAAATTTAAAGTCAAGTCACAATCGGCGGCATTACTAAAGCAGCCAGTGGCACCGGGAGAACCCTGGTAGCCGCAGCTGGCTAGCAGACCCCTGCAGGTCTTTGGCTCTTGAGCGAAAAAGACCTCTCATGTTTGACACACGCTACGGAGGGGTGGCGGCGTTTGCAGTGGCAGTGGGGCGACGCTAACAATCTGGCACTCTTCCTGGCCGCAGGGGTCCCAGTCTGCGTTTGAAAGCCTATAACTGGGTCCTCAACCTCTCCTAAGAGAGGGGAATCGGTGGATGTTCCTAGGGAGGCCCAGAGAACCTGGGGCTCATTCCCTTAGGAACAGCAGGCTAAAAAGGAAAGAGTAAAGTTTCTTCCCAGAGCTAAAAAAGCCACCCAGACTTCCACCCCGATACATGGGTTCTCTCTTCCATGGCTTTTTAAGCCCCTGGATTGCGGAGACCATTAACAAAGGCTCTTGACATTAACCAAGCTACTAGGAATGATAGTGTCCTGTCAGGACATTGTTCAGTGGTCAAGACTTCACTCCCAACCCCTGCAGAGGTTTTTGCTTCCGTACCAGGAGGCAATAGCACACCGGAGGTTGAAGGTACTCTACCTCCCAGAGAGACTGTGCCGTCAACTAGGTTGGTGGATGGATCCCTTGCGCTTTGTACAGGGCTCCCCTTTAAGAGACCCACAGAGAATCGTGATGACGACAGACACAAGTCTGTGGGGGTGGGGAGCACACTCAAAAGGGGGGAGGATGATGCAGGGAACCTGGTCCACAAGGGAAACATTGAGGAGCATAAATTTCCTAGAACTCAGGGCCATAAAATTAGGGTTACTGAAGTTCAAGAGCTTTCTATTGGGACAGCATGTGCTGGTACAAATGGACAACATGACTGCGAAAGCCTATGTGAACAGGCAAGGGGGTACCAAACACCAATCGCTCCACGAGGAGGCTTGCGGCCTGTTCAGGTGGGCCAAGGTTCACCTCAAGTCACTGAAAGCGGTGCATGTGGCAGGAAAAGACAATGTCCTGGCGGACTGGTTAAGCCGAAAGCAGATAGACCAGTCAGAATGGATGTTGAACAAAATAGTCTTCTCCCAGGTTTGCAACACATTCGGAACAGTGATACTGGACCTCTTTGCCACGAAACAGAACTGTCAAGTTCAGCAGTTCATGTCAAGAAGGAAAAGACAGTATGCAATAGGGACAGATGAGCTCAATTGTGACTGGCCACAGTCAGTAAAAACAAGACCTGGAGCTGACTGTGGCTCAGATCATGAGCTACTCATTCCAAAATTCAGACTTAAACTGAAGAAAATTGGGAAAACCACTAGGCCATTCATCCCTGATGAATATACAGTAGAGGTGAAGAATAGATTCAAGGGTCTAGATTTGATAGATAGAGTGCCTGAAGAACTATGGATGGAGGTTCGTGACATTGTACAGGAGACAGCAATCACCACCATCCCAAAGAAAAAGAAATGCAAGAAAGCAAAGTGGCTGTCTGATGAGGCTTTACAAATAGCAGAGGAAAGAAGGAAAGCGAAAGGCAAAGGCGAAAAGGAAAGATTTACCCAACTGAATGCAGATTTCCAGAGAACAGCAAGGAGAGATAAGGAGGCCTTGCTGAATGAACAATGCAAAGTAATAGAGGAAAACAATAGAATGGGAAGGACTAGAGATCTCTTCAAGAAAATTGGAGAAATCAAGGGAGCGTTCCATGCAAAGCTGGCCATGATAAAGGACAAAAACGGTAGGGACCTAACAGAAGCAGAAGAGATTAGGAAAAGATGGCAAGAATACACAGAAGAACTATACAAGAAAGACCTCGATGTCCTTGACAACCACGACGGTATAATCACTGACCTCGAGCCAGACATCCTGGAATGTGAAGTTAAATGGGCCTTAGAAAGCATTACTAACAACAAAGCTAGTGGAGGTGATGGTATCCCAGCTGAGCTATTCAAAGTCTTAAAAGATGATGCTGTTAAAGTGCTGCACTCAATTTGCCAGCAAATTTGGAAAACGCAACAGTGGCCACAGGATTGGAAAAGGTCAGTATACATTCCAATCCCAAAGAAGGGCAATGCCAAGGAATGTTCAAACTATCGCACAATTGCACTCATATCACACGCTAGCAAGGTCATGCTCAAGATCCTACAAGCTAGGCTTCAACAGTACGTGGATAGAGAACTACCAGAAGTACAAGCTGGGTTTCGAAGAGGTAGAGGAACTAGAGATCAAATTGCCAACATTCGCTGGATTATGGAGAAAGCAAGAGAGTACCAGAAAAACATCTACTTCTGCTTCATTGACTATGCTAAAGCCTTTGACTGTGTGGATCACAACAAACTATGGCAGGTCCTTAAAGAGATGGGAGTACCAGACCACCTCACATGTCTCTTGAGAAACCTGTATAAGGGCCAAGAAGCGACAGTTAGAACCGGATACGGAACAACTGATTGGTTCAGCATAGGAAAAGGAGTACGACAAGGATGTATACTGTCACCTTGCTTATTTAATATATATGCAGAGTACATCATGCGAAATGCTGGCCTGGATGAATCACAAGCGGGAATTAAGATTGCTGGGGAAAAGATCAACAACCTCAGATATGCAGATGATACCACTCCCAAATCACCGCAGACTGTGACAGCAGCCATGAAATTAAAAGATGCCTGTTCCTTGGGAGGAAAGCTATGGCGAACCTCAACAGCATGATAAAATTAGAGACGTCACCCTGCCAACAAAAGTCCGCATGGTCAAAGCAATGGTATTCCCAGTAGTCATGTATGGCTGCGAGAGTTGGACTATAAGGAAGGCCGAGCGCCGAAGAATAGATTCTTTTGAACTCTGGTGCTGGAGAAGACTCTTGAGAGTCCCTTGGACTGCAAGAAGATCAAATCAGTAAATCCTAAAAGAAATCAACCCTGACTGTTCCCTGGAAGGCCAGATAATGAAACTGAAGCTCAAATACTTTGGCCACCAAATGAGAAGGGAGCACTCACTGGAGAAGACCCTGATGCTTGGAAAAATTGGAGGCCAAAGAAGACGGGGACGGCAAAGGATGAGATGGTTAGACAGTGTCATCGATGCAACGAACATGAAATTGAGCCAACTTCAGAGGACGGCGGAAGACAGGAGGGCCTCCTCCTGCACATCTGTAGAAATATGCGTTTCAGCAAGCATAACAAGAGGGATAGGAATGCAAAAGCAATTAACAAGACACAGAATGAACTCCCCAACCCCCATGGCAGCATAGCTGACAGTGGATCAGAGTATAGAACCGCTGAAAGCCCCAGTCAAAGAGGTCTTGTTTTTTCTACAGGATGGGGTCACCAAAGGGCTTAGTACGAGCACCCTGAGGAGACAAGTTTCAGCTATCTCAGCTGTGCAGCGGCTTAGGAAAGGCAGGTCTTTGTGGCAACACCCACATGTCAAACTCTTTTTTTTTTTTAAATCCCCTGAAGGCAGGGTAGCTTTATTAATTTTTGTTACACCTACATAACTACAAAGAGAAAAAAAAAAGAAGAAAAGTGGAAAAAAAGAAAAAAGTGGTAGGGGGGGAGGGAAAAAAAATAACAAACTAAAATAACAAACCCCAGGATACAGACAGTATAAAAGAAAAAGACCCCACACTATAACTAAAAACCCAAGAAAGGAAGGTCCTTAACAGTTAGCACATAGTTAGTTATAAAAAAAATTAAAGCTTGTGTTTAAGTCAATGAGTTAAGGAGATTAGTGAGTCCATTTTAGTAAATGTCTATTTTCTTCTCAGTGTGCATAAAGACTTCATCCAGTTCGTCTATAGTCTTTTAAGTCATAAGTGTTACTTGGCAACTCTCAGTCGCAGATCATATGCTTCTCTGGCCGTGCCTCCTTCTGCTCCCAATAGTTCTCCGTCCATCTCATCTGGGCTGGCTACTTGGCCTCCGTCCTCTTGCTGCTCTTCCTCTTTTGCTCCAAAAAACTGCTTCAACCAATTTTCCGCTTTGGACACCGAGTCAATTTTCTCCCTTTTGTCTCTGTATTTAAACTGCACCCCCTCTGGAAAAAGCCAGGCATATTGAATCTGGTTGATTTGAAGCGTTGAAATAAGCTCTTTATATGCTTTCCTTTTCTGTCTGACCTCAAATGGAACGTCCTTTTGCCAGTGAACTGCCGAGCGATAAGGCGATTAGCTCAGCTGCCACATCCTTCAAAATTTCTCCTGGCGTTTCATTCACCCCTTGGAATCTAAGAGTTTTGTTCGATTTTTCCATTTGTAGGTTCAATAGCTTCCTTTCGTGCAGGTCCTGCTTTTGTTCCATCAAACCAACTTTTTTCTTCAACTTTTTAGTGTCGTGGGCTGTTTCTTTGAGCTTTTCATCCGTTTGAATCGATTTCTTCAAAAGCTCGGTGATCTGTTGCTGCTGTTTTGCCATGCTTTGATTCGATGCAGCCATTAACTGGTTAAGACCATCGAGCCTTTCATTTAAGGGCCGGAGTAGCTCTGATAGTGTGGAGAAAACATCTCCTTCGTCTACCCTCGGACTCTGAGAACCACGCCCCGTTTTCGTTCCTCTCCCTCGGACACCGGCCATTTTCCGCTTTGTTTACACTAAAGAGTGCTTTTTTCACACTTCTTCAGCAAGTGTAAAACTTATCCGTAAATGCAGTTAAGTCTCTAGCACACTTGAGTGCTTTCTGTTCTCCTCCCCCCCCCGTCTCTTTTAGAACGCAGTTCCGTTTGTTTGTGTCTAGGATTTCTCCCGACGCCATTGAAGGTGGTGGTGGGGAATCAGAACTCACTTTTAAAAGTTTCTCGCTCGTCTCGCTCTCCGACTCATTGACCTGTGCAGAACAAGACCTGTGCAGTTTCATCGGTTCCCAA